ATGAAAAAGAATGTTGTTCCTATCCTTCATGGGAACTGCAAGCTACAAGAAGAGCTATGACAGGTACACAAGGATGTAGGACACAAGACATAATATGATAAAAGCAAAGGAAATGTCCAGACCCAGTCCTATTAAAGTAATTGAACCAGATGTTTCAATAGCTTCAAAATCCAAATCTTGTTAAAGAAGATTCACAGGAACATAGTACAAAAGCTAGGATGGATGCCAGTACCCATCTAGTCCAACCTCTTCATTTCACAGATGAGGAAATTAAGGCTCAGGGAAATTAAATGACTTGATACTTGACAAGTAGTAGATATCCAAGGCAAGATTTGAACCCAAGTCCCCTGACTCAAGAGCTGTTGTTGTTTTGTTTTGGTTTTTTTCTACTTTATCATGCTATCTCCCTCTGAAGAAGGATTTGAAAAACTCAGAGTTTACTTTTAGCTGAGGAAAGGGATCAGATAAGTATTCATAGAGGAGATGGTATAGAACTGGGACTAGCAGGAAGAGAGATATTTCAACAGATAGGATTGTGGAGGAATGAATTTCAGATCTGTGCAAGTATAGAAAGAGAAGAAATGGCAGGATATGGTTGGTAACAGTAAACTAATTTGGCTACTCAAATAGAGTACATGGGAAAGGAATAGATTGACACAAAACTAGATAAATAGATGAAAGCCAGTTTGCAGAAAGCCTTAAATGCAAGGCTACAGAGTTTGTTTTTTGTACTAAAGTAAACATGAAATCGCTGAAGATTTTTGAGTAGAACAGTGGCATGACTTTATCTGTGTTTTAGAAAGACAGTAGCTCCTTTTGGAAGGATGCATCAGAAATGAGAGAGACAGGAAAGGGAGACTGGCCATTTTATCTAGCTAAGTAAGTGGCCTGAAGTAGAGTCGTGACTCTCTTGGTTCAGAAGAGAAAGTAGGTGTCCGAGATACTGTTGTCATAGAGTTGACAAGATTAAAAATTAAACTGATTAAAAATGAGAAGAGTAAGGGAGAGCAAAAAGTAAAAAACAAAAATGATTGGGGTTTTATGCCTTGGTGACCATGGAAGATAGTGACACCATCAATAGAAATAATAAAGATAAGGGGAGTGTGTTTTTTTTTCTTTTTCTTTTTTAAGAGATGTATTCAACAACTGATTTGCTGGCAACTTCACAATATATTGTGAATATTCAACTTGTTTCCATGGAGAATCCTATTATGTTCATGCTACAAGCGACACCAGCAAACCACTAGCCTCTTCGCTTTATTTTATGCATGTGGAAACTGTAACCCACTGAAGTTAAGTAATACAGTTATCAAGTGGTTTATCCAGAATTTGAGCCCAGGTCTTTTCATTCTTTGTCCAATGCTTCCCCAATTTACTGTACAATATAAAGTACTTTGAGATGGGGGAAAGAAAGCCTTCATTTTTCTTCACAAAATATTTTTATAGGAAGCTGGAGTTTTAATAAGGAATGTAGGTCACCAGAATTCAATTAATCTACATACAAAATAGCTTAGGATTCATTCAGAAAGTATGCCACAAGAACATCTGTGACCTGAATCCAGCAGCCTGCAATCATTGGGATCATATCCTATTTGTGATGAGTATTTCTACCAACACCAAGGAGGAATTTACTCACATGGTCTCTAGCTGGAATATAAATACTTTTTATTAATAGTGATACTCCTTGATTCATAGAAAGGATCTTAGCATTATTGATGTTAGCGCTATAAAGGACCTTAAGTGCTAATCTAATCCAAATGTTTGCCTCCACTAGGATAACCCATCATTACACCCTTTGAATAGATGGCCTATGCTTTTAAAAGGCTACTGCATTTTCTCATTATAACCTGTAGGTTACTCAAGGTTATCAAAATCTATGCAAGTATATCCATGAGCTCTGGCAGGTTTTACCAATCCAAAAACATTTTGATTATGAGTCCTGTGATGTGTATCTGTCTTCTGACGATCAATATAGATAAGTTAACCAAACCACAGATTATTATTATTATTATTATTTTTGCCTCTGTAACTTATAAAGACTGTGTATTAAGACTTGAGGAAGTTGAGCTATTTATTGGGGGGGGTGCAATAACAGAGATGAAATCACAGACCTTCTGAAATATTTAAATAATTTTAGGTAATCCACTGAGTTTCAGAGAACTTGTGATTCTCCAAAGGTCACAAAGCTAGTTAATAGTCGAATAGGTACTAGGAGCATAGGAACTTAGATCTAGAGCAGGAATGGATCTCAGAGGCCATTTATTCCAAGCCCTTCATTTTATAGATAAGAAAACGGAGGCATAGGGAGGTTAGGGATTTTCCACAGACCACACAGATAAGTGGTCAGTGACAATATTTAAAGTCAGGTCATCTGAATGCCAGAGTCAGTGTTCTTTCACTTGTACTACACTACCTTGGCAGTTCACTTAGAGGAAATGAGAGTTCTTAGCCTAGAGAAGTCTCACTAAGTGACATAATAGTTGTCTATATGTATTTGAAGGCCTGCCAAGTAGAAGAGGAGCTATACCCATTATGTTTGGCCTCAGGTGGCAGAAGGGAATAATAGATTGGCATTACAAAGAGGTCAATTTAGGATCACATTTAGGAAAACTTTCAAATAATCAGAAGTGTCCATAGTGGAAAGTGCTACCTCTTTAGGTGGTGAACTTCCTTTTCCAAAAGGTCTCTTAGTAGTTTGGAAAACCATTTGTGATACATGTTATAGTGGGAATTTAATTGTAATTTTTATTTTTTTTGTATATGAGTTGACTAGAGGGCACTGAGGTCCCATTTAACTCTCAAAGTCTGTGATTCTGTAATTAACTTAAAAATTAACTAATTAGCTTATTGTCTTTCCACTTCACAACATGCTTCCTTAAGAACCGCCTCTCCAAGAGCTACAGAGATCCAATGCTATCTTGAAATTCAAACTGTCTTTTTCAGTTAATATAATTCTGCTCATCTAACATAACTAACTCTATTATAATCTCTCTAATACATTTTCCTCCTCCTCTGATTAAAATTACCTGAGAAATCCTAGACAAGCCTTTTACTCTTTAAATCAGAAAGAGCTATTATTTATGGTAGAGATTCTTATATTGGGGGCCAGTAAGTTGTTTTTCAAAACTATATATAATTGTATTTAAATACAACTGGTCTTTTATAAAAATTTCTAGTTTATTTTAGGCATTTAAAATCATTGTGAAAGGGGTGAAGAGGGGTTTTGTTTTGTTTTGTTTTAAGTTTGCCAAAGGGCTCCATGACACACAAAAAAGAAGCTGATTTATGGCACTTGCCAGATATATTTTTCTTTGCCTAGGGAACCTATTTTTGTGATGCCAGGCAATTCAGGCATGCTGATTGAGGTTTGTGGTAATCTCATCCTAAAGAGCATGTTCAAATTTATCAAATTGGATGACATCATGGTTCTTCATTTCCCTGAGCATTAAAATTCACTAGACAGTAAATCAGCAGAACTCCTAAAAACACGAGAACATAAGTTTGCATACATTAAGTGAGACAACCCAAGGAATTTTTACCAGTGAATTTGAGGAAAAAAACTTGAATTAATGGGTGCACTTAACAGAGAATTCTTTATACTGTATTGCCCCGTTTCCTAGTAGATTCTTCACAGTTTTACCACAATCACAATATTATGTGTACCTTTTTCATTTCATCATTCAAGTACATCCACTAAAGAGTAATCAATTTCCTTAAACTTCCAATTACTAACAACCCAAGCAATTCCATCTGTGTTCTGAATTCTTTCAGTCAAAGATTGACAAGGTCCTTCATGAGAGAGGCAAATAGCATGTCTTGTCAATAGCCTGTTAAACTAGACTTAAGATGGAAAGCCTGAACCTTGGTTTTGTTCACAGTGATGGAAAAAATAGTCTATTGTAAACTAAAATCAACATTCAATCATTCAGAGGTAGATTGGCAAGCTTGTCAAATCTGCAGGCTCATATATTTTCATCTTTACTTTGTGCTAGCACCTTTCTCTAAGAGGTGGAATGAAAGAAAAGTTAAGAAAATAAAATTCAAATTCATAAATTTTGTAAGTAGTTTTTGATCATTTATTTACTCTGAAGTCCCTATACTTTTTGTGAATAGGTATTTACACACATCTATGTGTGTGTGAATATGTATTTATAGATAAATTAACATTTTTTAATACTTTGTTGCCTTAAATTTCCTAGTGAATTCCTCACAGTTTTACAATAATCACACGTATACATACAAAATAACACCTCCACACATATATACATACACTTATCCTGATGCATGATATATATATGTGTGTATTTGTATGTATATATTTATGTATATAGAGAGAATGCATAAAGGATGACTCTATTGCCTCAAATGAACACTTTAGACTGTGAAGATTTTTGCTTGTCTCCATTCTCCCAGTTCCTCATTGAACATATGCACGTGTTTGTATATATGTAGAGTGTGTGTGTGTTCCATACTCACAGGATACAGAATGGAAAGGCACCTTGGAGTATACATCTAGTTCAACCCCTTAATTTTATTCATGAAAAAACAGGTCGAATAACCAAATCAAGACAAAGCAGGTGAGAGACCCTTTTACCCTTTTGTTCCCTACTTTCTACTCTCAACAATCTTTCTCTCTCTCTCTCTCTCTCTCTCTCTCTCTCTCTCTCTCTCTCTCTCTCTCTCTCTCTCTCTCTCTCTCTCTCTCTCCCTCCTTTTCTTTCTTTCTCTCTCTCCCTCTCCATTTCCCATCCCTCTCTCCTCCTTCTTTCTTTCACTCTCTTTTGTCTTTCTCTGTCTCTTTTTCTATTTCTCTATTTTCCCTTCATGCTTCCCTCCCCCTTATGTGAATGCAAGGTGATACATATCACAAGTATGGTTTTTCTCAATTCATACCACTGGTGTATATCCGTGTTGGCCAGTTTCTTTATATATGTTCCTGAGGCCCAGTTCATCTAACCTTATGCAAACTGAAAGTAAATAATACCTGAAACCCATCTCACCTCATAATCAATGTCCAAATAGTCCCCATCTCCTTTAGCCCGGAAATGTTGAGTGTGCTTGTCCACTGTGAAGTTCACTTGCTTATTGAACCGCTCAATGAGGACTGAGTGCCAATGCTGGTCATCCAGGAGACTGCCTAGTGTAACTGAAGGCTGGCTGTTACTGAAACGACGTTTGCTGTCACCTGCCAAGGGCAAAAAAAATTGAAGAAAAAATAAAGCATAATTGTAACGGGGCCTATCGCAACACTCGAATACCAGGGAGTTCAGACAAGCAAATATATACTTAGTCAATAAAGACTTATCAGTTGCCTATTATGAGAATAGTATTATGCCAGGCACTGAGATGAATTAAAAGAAGCATTAGGCACTCTTCATGCCTTCCAGGCTTTTGCTATTTAATGGATGAAACGTATATACATGTAAATGTTAAATAACCTAAGGTAGTATTTGAGAAGTCAAATGAATGGTGTAAACTACTTTCATCGTTGATCAGAGGAAGAGTTCAATGGGACTAATGCTAAGCATGCAGTAGCCACTTAATAAATGTTTGCCTGTTGATTTGTCTGGAGTAGTCTGTGGTATATAATCATTCGTAATAAAGGTGAAAATTTGTGATGTCCTTTGAAAATTACATAGAATTTTGATTAGTAAGAAGAGGGGAAAGAACTTTCAGGTAGGGAAACATCAGTACCAAATCAATAATTAGAAGAGAAGAGCAGGTTAGGACACTAGGGTCATGGATCATGACTCTCTGGCTATTCTCCATTTCAGAGGACAGTTCTTGGTTTCACTTCTTTGTGTCCCAGCTGTAATCTTTTCTTTCCCGAGAAAAGGAAAGGCTCTAGCTAAAAAAAAAAAATCTATTAAGGTTTAAGAACGCTAATCAATTCAAAGGACCCAAGATAAAAAAAGCTACCACCTCATGAGAGAGAGGTGAAGGATTTAGGATAAAGATGGTGATGAATGCTTTTTGAGAGATAGTTAATGTAGATATTTATTATATTTGATTATGTCTATTTTATTAAAATGTTTTTTTTTAATTTTCAATAGGAAAGACATAGGAAAGAGAGAGCTGTTTGCTAATTGAAAAAAATAAAGAAAAATTCTCACAAATTCACAAGTTCTCAAAGAAGAAATCCCTTGCCTTGGGAGTGTATTTTATTCCAATCAGTGAAGCAATCAATTGATTAAAAAGCATTTATAAGCGATAACTGTGTGACAGTTAGTATGGTAAAGTGATGGAGATAGAAAGTAAAAAAAAATCCCTGTTCTCAAGGATTTCATATTCTAAATGGATAGAGAAACCAAATTAAAAAAAAAAGATATAGTTGGATTACATTTGAGAATTTCTATAGTATTTTTGATAATGAAAAGTTGGTTCCTGACTTAAAAACTTAACTTTTTAGCCTAGATGTAATGTTACATGGCTTTGAATCATGGACCTCTGAATCTCTGAAGAATCAAGCAATCATTTGGCCAAAAGTTATTAAGCACCTTCTAAATTAATATTGCAAGAACTGAAAAAGAAATGTGAGACACAGAGTGGGCATAAATAGCTTGTGGCTTATTCTCTCTTATGCTTTCCACACAAGGAGCAGTTTTAAGGGATGTCATCCAAGAAATGTGTGCCTGGAAATGGAGGTGGTTAGTCATATAATAGAAGCAAAAGATAAGAGATAGACAGCCTGAGTATTGCACTGGTACTCTTGGAATGTCAAACAGTCTAGAGGAAGGCCTCAACCGATTCAAATAAATCACAATGGATTATTTATAGGAAGTAGACACTTTAACAATAGATCACATACTCTAAGATGAATTTCATTCTTTGTTCTATTGTATATACCAAAAGCATAAGAAAATAAAAGTGACTTTGAAAGTCCAGGGCATAGGTAGGTTCCATTCTGTATTGTTGTCATATCTACATCAATAGGATTTTATATTTGTGTATTGAAACGTTAAAATTAAGTAACTATAGTCATCATTGATGAATTTAAATGAACATAAATTATCATGAATATAAATTATCAAAAAGGGTAGATTAAGTCTAAATTAATGAGGTTTTATTTAATTTGTTATTCCTTTTTTAGCTGCCAGAATAATAATCATCAACAGTTTCTTTCCATTTGTCACAGAATTTCAACACCTCTGTAGGAAGTCTTATTTTAACAAGTCCTATGGAAAGTTAAGTTGGTAAGATAATTTGATAGACTGGGAATTTTAGTTTCACCTCAGGTTGGATATTTAGTGCTGTTCTCTCATATCTTTTAGAGAAAAGAATAAAAAAGTATTTTTTTTCAAAGATGTCCCATATAACAATGAAATTTTGATTTTCATAATTTACACAGAGTACTTAGTCCTAAGGAGAATATCAGACTAACTTGTTTATAAATCCACAGCTAAAAAAATGAAATGTTTAGTTCACGTTTTGTGTGTATATATATATATGCATATATATACACACACACACACACACACACACACACACATATACATATATATATATATATACACACACATTTAGAAGCTATTTGATTTGCTTTTAAAATCTATCTTGCTCATAATTTGTTCTTAAAATATGACACATTTAAAATCTAAAATGACATAATGTGATAAGTACTATACACTATAACCAGAGGCATTAAACATTGTAAAAGATACAGGAAATAGCTAAAAATAATCTGGAAAACTATTTACCATAACCATTTCATTATATTTTTCTTGAGTTCTTACAGATGAACATATTGAACTTCTCATTTTTTATCATATGTATATATGCGTGCATGTATGTATGGATATATGCACGCATATGTATGGGTATATATGTACACAATACATACATATATATGTATATATTGTGCACATGGATACATGTGTGTATGTGACTAATGCAAAGATATGAGAGGAAAAAAAAACACTGAGAATTTGAAGTCCGAAGATCATGACCAGTTCTGGCTCTGCCCTGTGCTAGCTGTACAACCTGGAACAGGTCACCTAACCACTCTGAACTCCAGTTTCTTTAGTTCCAAATCCATGATTGTGAGGATCCAATGAGAAAATATGTTGAAAGTGTTGCTCTAATTTTTTTTAAAGAAAACTGAAACAAAGGGCATCTATAATTTCTAAGCCACTGAGCATGACTTTCAATGGCTAGAAAAGGAAGTGATACTTCCTATGAAGACAGCATAACCTCATCAAGAACAAGTCATCACAAAATAAATGCATTTCCTTTTTTGAAAGAAAATAATCTGGCAGAGGAGGGGATATGGTAAATATGGATTAACCAGAAATTTTACAAAGCAGAATATCTCATGCTATTTATACTGATCGAAGTTATGGAGATATGTGGATTAGAAGATAATATAAATAGATTCAGAACTAGGGAGTGGCAAAACTCAAAGAGCAGATTTTAAATGATTCAATATTAAGTTGGTAGGAGGTAGTTAATGTAGTACCTCAGAACAGAGATCTGTTCTGTGTATATGTGTGTTATATTTTTATCAGTGATTTGAATAAAAAGAATGATTGAGTGAATAAATTGTTTTGACTATTATAAATACCCAAAATAACTATAAAGGACATATAAAAAAAAGATATAATCTGCATCCAGAGAAAGAACTGATAAATAGATGTATATACAGAATAATTTTATGTGTGTATGTGTGTGTGTGTGTGTGTGTGTGTGTGTGTGTGTGTGTGTGATGGCAGCCATCTCTAGGGCAGGGTGGGGTGGGGATAAAAAAGAGTAAAAAAGAAACTTAAATTATAATTTGTTATACATTTGAAAGGAATAGCAAATTGTGTTCAGTAGATTTGCAGTTCCATGTACAATCATCTTTTTTTATTTTACTGTTATTGAAATGCTTATTTTATTCCATAAATATGTATTAATGTCAAAAAAAGGAAAAAAAAGAGATGGCATGGTTATCAAATACACAGATGATAGAGAGCCAGATAAGACAGAATATACTTGAATCAAAATCCAATAAGTTTTTGACAGGATAAAGCTTATTTTTTTTATCTTTTTGTCTTTTTTCAGTCATTTTTCAGTTGTGTCCTATTCTCTGTGACCCCTTTTGGGGGTTTTCTTGGCAAAGATACTGGAGTGGTTCACAGTTTCCTTCTCCAGCTCATTTTACAGATGAGGAACCAAGGCAAACAGGATTAAATGACTTGCCCAGGTTCACACAGCTAGTAAGTAAGCTGATAAGCTTAGTTCACAAAGCTAGTAAGTGTGAGGCTTAATTTGAACTCAGGAATACGAGTCTTCCTGGTTCCCAGCCAACTGATCTAGCCAATGCACCACCTAGCTGCTTTATAGATTGAATCTAATAAGATGATTTTTAATAGGTAAAAATTAAAATCTCATATTTGGATTCAAAGAATCAACTTCACCAATATAGGATGAGGTAATTATGGTTAGATGGAAATTTGTCTGAAAAAGGATCTAAGCATTTTAATGGGCTACTAATTCATTATGAGTCAGCAGTGTAATGTGGCAGCCAAAAAAATACGTAATGTAATTTTAGGCTGAAATGACTGGCAGAGCTTCCACAAATAAAGAATTGATACTCCTATCCACTTATCAGATCACCTCTGGGGAACTGTGTTCAGTTCTGGACACTGCAGCTTAATCCAGAGAGAATTCAGAGGGAGACAATGATGATGGTGAGGGGTCTTAAAATTATGTTATATGAGGAGCTGTTGAAAATATTGGGAAAGTTTAGTCTAGAAAGAAAAGACTCAAAAGGAAATGATTACTATTTTCCAAAATTTACAGGCTCAGTAATAGAAGGTTCTTCCTCAATATTTGTCTCCTCCTATGTTTTAATTAGAATTCATTATTCATCAACCATAGCTTATGCTAGACGGTTTCTGAGGTTTTACCCAAATCTAAAATTCTGTGATTTTTATGAAGTGTTATTATAAATGTAAATTACTATCATATATATTGTGTCCAGTATTACCAAACAAAACTTTAATCCATTTTGCTCAGTAATCTGTTAGGAACTTAAAGGTAGATGTGGCTATTATACTTATTTTGACATCCACTCTCATTCTAAATTTCAAATAGGTGGGTATTTCAATGGTGCACAGATGAGGACAATTGCAAAGTGAAATGTATGCTGTCTAACAATCTCTCTCACTAAAGTCTTTTCACAATTTTGACATTATTGTTTCAAAACATCTCTATCTCTGCACAGCTTGTGCATTTCTGTTATATTTCATGCAACCTGGAGAAAATAGAATAGGATGCATTTTTAAGTGTGGTCAGGCCACTCCAGATCTGGAATTGTTTTACAAGTAATTATCCTTATTATATTTTATTAGCTCCATATCCTTGTACATGGTCTTACAAAGGGTCTTACTTTCATAAAAACATCTTTAAAAGTTTACTTTTTTCGTGATATAAGAATATCCATAGGATCATAACATTAGGGTAGGAAAAGGCCTCACTGTTCATCTAGGTTGGAAATCCCACTCCACTTTGTAGATAAGGAAACTGACATCTAGAGCTGTTAAGTAACTTGGTGAAGATTATACAAGTAAGAAATAGTAGAATCAGTGTTTGAAACCAGTTGCCCTGATACTAAATCTAGTGTTATTTCTACCAGTATTCTGGAAAATCCAGACAAATGGTTAAAGCATAGATAGGGAAAATTGAGCAAATACAATTTTATTCCTCAGACAAGGGTAATCTACAAATACCATTTTGGATTTGCTTGTCATGCACTAAGTCACACGATTAGTTTCCAGTGTGAGCAACTTTGATTACTTATTCATTCAGCAAGTCTTCATTGACGGAGTGGTATATATCACCCCAGTGTGTGGTAGATACCTAGTGGGCCCAAGAGAAGAAAAACGAATCCATTGCCCTCTAAGTGTTTTCAGACTAGTTGATGAGATAAGAGTAATTAATTAATGAATTAAGATTAAGTAACCTGAATGAATCGGGACCAATAGTTGCCATGAGGTCATCTTAGAAAGACACTCAGAGATGCAGAATTGTAATTAGCAATTGTGGCTTGAAGGACAAGCACCACAAAATGTGCCCCAAGATAAACAGCATAAAACGGTATCTTTCAGTGATTACCTTTTAGTCAGCCCCGTCAGTGAACTAGCACTTATTAAGAACCTACCACGTATCAAGCACTGTATTAAATGCTCGAAATATAAGGAAAGGAAAAAGCAATCAGTTCCCGTTCTCAATGAGATCACTCTCTGATGAGGGAGATACCGTGATGGCCAATATGTACAAACATACTATATACAGAATAACTGGGGTAGTCTCATAGGGAAGGCGCTAAAGACACATTAAAGAAACATTCAGGGGTGGGGAGCAGATAGAGCTCAGGAGATCCATCAGAATCTCCAACACAAGACCCCAGATGGGAGGGAAAGAAAGAGAAAGGGAGAGACAGTAAGGTATAAGAAGACAAAAATTACAATGATGACATGACACTCCTCCACCTTTCTTGTCTTTGCACTAGCTGTTCTTCAAAGCCTGGCTCAAGCAGTCACCTTCTAAATGAGGCTTTTGGAAGATTTCCCAAGAAGCTATTGTCTTTCCCACAAAATCACCCTGTATTTATTTTCCATCAATCTTCTAGTTTTTTTCTTCCCTGACTAGATTATAAGCTTCTTGAGGGCAGGAGTTATTTTCACTTTTGCCTTTGTATCCCCAGCACCTAACACATAGCACGCCTGTAATGAATCTTTATTGACTGAATACTGGATTCAGTATTGGAGAGTATGCCTTTTGAAGATAATGGGGGGGGGGGTTGGATGATCTGGAAGGTCCTCAAGTGGAGAAGAAATAAGCTAACAGATGGTTAATTTCTGAAATATTTAATTTAACTAACTTGATGATCTGAGCAGTTGTTTCAACCTACTGAGAGTTTTGACAGTGCCCTCCACATTCTGTCACTACTTTGATTGTCCTGCCTTAGTTGTGGTTCACAGGGATGCCTCAGGTTAGATTGATTTTGTCTGACTTTAGAGTCAATTGCTATTACACCACAGCCTAATGTCTTCCTTGTTTGGCAGGAAAAAAAAAAAACATTGTCTAGTATTGTTTGCCTAGTAATGTTTGCCAGAAAATGAAACTTTTCTGTCATTTTTTTTACTTCACCATCTTCACAGTATCAATTTTAAAGTAAAATTTCCATCCCACTCATTTTTAGTGAAATACTAAATGGGAGGGGGGTCATGTTCATGACAAACTGTGACATTTTTTCTTTGCATCTTGGCTACTTTTCAGGTTTCTTCCTCAACAGATAAGCTATTTTCTCTATTCCTGTGAACTCTGCTCTCTGCGTGATACAAAGAGATACATTCTTTTTTCTTTTCCTTCAATAGGATCTTGGATCCCATGGAGGGGGCTGAGCCATGAACCACCCAACTTGGGGGGTCAATTAGAGGCAACTGAAGACATACAGTGAATATAGAGGGAATAAGGGAGAAAAGCCCTAATATCTGTGAGCTGAATTCCAAGCAAGCACAATTACTATTGGTAATGATAGCCTTGCTTTAATCCAGATGAGACACTTTTAACAACAACCATAAATACATGTAAACAGACATACATACACACACACACACACACACACACACACACACATGAACACACACACGCACACACGAACACACACACACACACACACATCTTCTCTTAGTGACTGGAAAAACTTGGAAAAATGGAGGGAGAAATGGAAGTAAATAGCCACTACACACATGAACATAGACCTATACAAACACCAGATCCTAACTCCCTAGCCCCACACCAAATAGCCACATTTTTAAAAATTAAAGAAAATAAATCATTTTCAACACAACCTTGCCCAATTTTACAAGGTATTCATATCCAAAAATACATGATATTTTATGTGAGTCAAGATACAGCTAATGCATTTTTATATCCCTAATGTGACTTCTGACATATCAAGGGAACTGGAAGAGAGCATATGTGTGTGGGGGGAAGTATTGTATAAATTTGATTGTTCTGCAAATTTCCATATTTCTACATATTCAACTTCAACTTCCTTCACCAAATTGATTCAAAATTTCCCAAAATGTTATATTCTTGCTGGGTTGTGCAGAGGAAGGGAGTGTATTTTATGCTGTGCTCCAATTGCTTCTATCAAAGAAGTATTATAAAATCAAAGTTGAATGTACTTGCTTTCATTATCATCCCATTTGAAGGAGGACAGAAATGACAGATCCTACCTAGGTTGATATGTAAGGAGAGTCTCCCCTTCTGGAGTTCCAATGTAATGTAATCTCCATGCTGGCCCTCTCCATGGAACAAGACCCCATCTCCTTGCATGCTCTTGAACTTCAGAGAAATCACATCTTTAAAAGTGCTCATTAGCTTCTGATTGAATCTGTACAGGAGGGAGCTTCTGCCATCAAAGTCAGCAATATCTGATTCTGAGGGAGAAGTGAGAGAGAAAAAAAGAAAGGAAATCAAATACAGCAACATTCTTTATTTTAATTGACAGTGAATTCAAAGGCATTGTCTAGAAATCTGAAAACACCTCCGTCCATCAACGCCTGGAAGGATCCTCTTTTTCTAATATAATGTAAGTTTCTTGAGAGCACCAACTATCTTGCTTGTTGTGCTTATATTCCTCATTTTTTAGAACAGTTCTGGGCAAATAACAAGAACATAATAAATAATTGTTTTATTCAAGTATCAATGGGCAGTGTTTGTATAGGCTCTCAAACCAAACTAAGGGGTGGGGATGACCCAATAACTAGCAAAAAATGGACTATCACCTCCTATAGTCCTTTAAGATTATAAGACTGTAGAATCAGAGATGTGGAACTAGAAGGAGCTTCATTTCCTCAAATTTGGCTTTAAAGAATTATGGTTTTTATGTATCCTCACTTTAAAGGGAGCTATGTATCAGCAGAAGTACCAGAAAATTCAGGCACGTATCTGACTATTCACAGGGCAATTCAAAAACCCTGGTCTGTGCACATATTATAATAAATTAATTACACACAGATTTTAAAATAGTTGTGATATCAGGATTCTTTTATAAAAATATTTCACAATTGCATGTAAAAATAATTTTAACATTATTATTTTTTATAATACTGAGTTCCAAATTTTCTCCCCCTCCCCTCTTTCCCACCCAGTGAGAAGCAAAGCAATGTGATATAGGTTATGTGCGTGGAGTCATGCAAAATATATTGAAAGAAAACAGACCAAAAAAAAAAGAAAAACAAAGTTAAAAAAAAAGTATAAATACTTCGATCTGCATTCACCCCCTATCAGTTCTTTCTCTAGAGGAAGACATATTTTTCATTTAAGTCCTTCAGAATTGTCTTGGATCATTGTGTTGCTGAAACATAAAGTTACTTGGATTTCTGACAACTTGGAGAAACTCCCAGAATGGGAACACTGTCCACCAGTTATGATCTCAACCTACCTATGACTTAGTTCATTAGTCCTCAGAAGTTTTTGGAGGCACATAGAGGTTAACTGACTTGCCCAAGTTCTCATAATTAGTGAGCAGTAGAAGAAAGACTGAAACCCAGGGGCTCAGACTCCAGTTTCAGTGCTTTTTCCATTGGCCTCTTCAAGAACAAAAGACAAACAACAATAATAAGCTAGCTCCGTGAGCTTATATTCTACTGGGGGGGGGCATATTTAAGTATGTGCAAAATACATGCAAAAGAAATGCCAGGTATTTCAGCCAGGGAGGGACTAGAAGCTGGAGGGGTCAGCAAAGCATTCTTGTAAAAAGGGTCACTAGAGCTGAGCTTTGAAGGAAACTAGGGATACCAAGAGTTGGAAGAAAAAGAGGAAGTGAATTCCTGGTAAAAGGATAACCTGTACAAAGTTATAGAGATAGCAAATTGATGCAATACATGAGGAATGGTAAGAAAATCAGTTTGGGTGAAGTATATGAATGAAGAACTTCCAAGTACTGTGTGGAGTGCTAGATGTAGAGATAAGAAACAAGTGTTTGAATCCTGCCTCATTCACTTACTCAATGCAGGACACTGGGCAAATCTCCAACTCTCATTCCTTATCTATAAAATAAGGAGACTTCTTTTGATGACTTCCATGGTCTTTTCCAAATCTAAATCTATGATCCCATGTGTAATATAAGGAGACTGGAAATATAGGTTGGATCCAGACTGGGAAGGATTTAAATGTGATGCAGAGGAATTTATATTTGATATTAGAGAAAATAGGGAGCTACTGGAATTAATTTTACTTCTCGTAGTTTATGTACTCATAATATTATAATTTATATTATGAATATATGACTCACCTTACATGCAACATTTTAAGTGCTCTGAAAGCAAGGACTACATCTTATTTAACTTTGTATCCCCTTGGGCCTTATATAAGATATAGTCCTTACTGAGTGGCTAGTAAGTATTTGTTAAATTGAATTTCCTTCTACAGTATGGCTCACAGCTAGGTTAATTTGGAGCAGAATCTTAACTTTTTTGATTCTCAATTTCCTCATTGGTAAAATAGAACGTCATTTGTTCTGTTTTGTTCATAGGGTTTTTATAAGAATCAAATGAGATAAAATATATTTTAAAATTCAGAAAAATAAAATGTACTATATCATTGTTACTTTGCTCTTCCTCTCCTCCAACTTTTAATCATCTTCTCTGTCCCATCATCCTTTCCCATGTTCTCTAGTTCTTAGTGCTCTATGCAACTCTCTAAGATTATAAGTTGTAAAAAAGTCACATACTAGCAATAGTAGGAAAAGTTTCTTCACCCAGGCATTCCTTATACCCATGACAGCACAACTTCAGGCCATATTCTCTATTTATACTTAGTTCTGTTCATTGCAGAAATTGGAAGTGGACTATATTTTGTTGGTAATAAGAACCAGCAGATGAGAAAACTGCTCATGTTAATATTATGACTACACCCCCACTGCAATCCCCAGGTCCTGCTAATACACTGCAATCAAGGATAGTTTGTTCTGAAATTCCTTAACTCCAAAGTTGCATCTCCAAAAAGATGAAGATTGCAATTACTGCCTTACAATATGGGGTCTCTTAATTTGTTTTTCAAAAATATTTTATTACTATATATCAATTGGTTCCCTTTGCAATCCTATGCATTTTATTTTAGAATTCAGAACATGATTCTGATAAGGGGTCCATAGATTTTTTTTTTACCAGACAAAGAGGATTGATGATGCATATAGTATAGCCATAATAGTTACATGACCTGTCGTGGCTTTAAAAAAATTATCATCTGCTGGCCAAACTTTTGAGGATAAAACTTAGAATACATCTCAGCATGTCTGCAGAAAACAGTCAGCCAATAAGCATTTGTTAAGTAGTTTCCTATGTGCCAAGTACTATACTAAGTAAGTACAAGGGATATAAATCAAAGGCAAAAAAAGTCTATGCCCTCAGAGAGTGTGTATTCTAAAGGAGAGACAGCATACACACAACTAGGTATATACATGATATTTACAGAATACAGTTAGAAGGAAACCTCACAGGGAAAGGCACATGAAAATTCTCAAGCATATGCTTAAAGCCCTCCCAGATTGGTAGGGACTGCTAGATGTCAAAGGTTTTGAGAACCAAGGGTCACATCCATGCCATAATGAGGCTTTCCTAACAAGAGGTTTGAAATTCCATTACATAGTGGAAATAAGCTGAGCTGCTCATCTGAAACTTAGAGAGAATTTTAAAAAAAACACATTTTCAGAAAGAGATTGGATTCCTTGCATAGCCTCACACCCCACTTTGAGATTTAATTCTTATATTATCCATATGTACTCATTAATTCAGAGATTAACACATCCCCTTTGGTGAGTACTAAATTAACCTACAGAAGAAATTAATGCATTCCCTCGAATACTACCAAGATCCAATGATGATAACACTTTGCTGATGAGGGGAGCTCAGCCAAGCATAATAGGGCCTTCATAACATTAATTAAACCACACAAGGAATTCATTAGCCATTTCACAGATGGAGAAACAAAGGGAAAGACAGTTGAGGGAGGAAAAGAGGGAGAGAAAAGAAGATTGGGAAGGAGTGGGATGGAGGGAGAGAGATACATAGAAAGACAGAAACAGAGAGAGAAGGAAGAAAAGACTTGCAGAGAGACACTGACTGAGGCAAAGAAATTAAAAGTTTCACCAAACTAGAAACAGACTTGATGATAATGGAAATATTTAAAGATAATTCCTAAATTCAAATAAATGTCTAATTGATAGCACCTGTAGCACTTAATAAAAATAAGACAATACCCCTGCTCGCACGCACTCTCTCTCTCTCTCTCTCTCTCTCTCTCTCTCTCTCTCTCTCTCTCGATATATAGATAGATATATACACACATAGATATATACATAAATGTATATATTAACACACATGCATATATGTGTATGTGTGTATATATATATACATATATACATATACATATATATACATATACATATATATACATATCTATATATGTATATGTATATCTATGTATGTGTATATATATATACATATATATATACACATACATAGATATACATATACATATATAGATACATATATATATATATATATATGTTTTGTACTTGCTATGAGGGTAACTTTTGTTGTACTTGACATTGAGTTTTGATCTTAGGTCATGAAGGGAATTTATTTCAAAGAAACCAGTTGTAGAAATCAAAATCAAGACCTCTCTTTCATGTTTTGTAGGGATAATGGTAGCACTTCTGGAGGGAGCTTCTCTTAACAAAAATCTGTGTAAGGAAAGCAAAGGACAGAGAAAATAAAACTGGCCATATGCCACGAGGCAATCCAAATTGTCATTAGGATTCATACCACATGTGTTTATGTATGTGTGTATGTATGTAGATAGATAAGATAGATAGATAGTCTTGTTAAGTGACTTTCCCAAAGTCATATAGCTACTTAGTGTCTAAGGTGACATTTGAACTCAGTTCTTCCTGACTGTAGGTTTGGCACTCAACTGACAGCACCATCTTTTCTATAAAATGGGGATAATAATAGCACCCATATGGAATCATAACTATAAAGTGACTAACATAGCGCCTGACACATAGTGGGTGCTATATAAAACATTATGTATTATTATACTTATTATCATAATTATATTATAACCTACACATGTGTATCTACATGTATGTATTTGTGTAAAACAATTAAATTAATGTAATTAAATTAGTGTTGGAATTCCCTCTATCAGTGCAGATAACAAATAGCTTTGCAAGTTGGAGCCCTAAAATGTTGCCTGGGGTATCATCAGCGTTAGCATCATCCATAATCATTCATTAAGTGTTTACTATGTGTCAGGCACTGTGCTGCATGCTACAGATACAAATAAAAGCAAGAACAGAGTCCCTGCTCTCAAGGAGCTTACATTGTTTTGGGGGAAGCAACATGAAAACTATGTCCACACAAGTATGTTT